AAGCCTGCTGGTTAAACTCTCTGTTGTGTTTTTTATTTCATTGAATGAATTCTTCAGCTTGGCAAGCTCTGCTACATTCTTTTTCAGGGCATTGGTTTCCTTGTACATTTCTTCTTTCAGGTCCTGTATACTTTTCCTTGTTTCATCATGTTGTCCAACTGAGTTTTCTTGTATCTTATTTAGTTTCCTTAGAATTATCACTTGAAATTCCTTGTCAGACATTTCAAGGTCTTCTTGTTCTATAGGATCTAGAGCTTGAGAGTTGTACTTCCTTGATTTTTCATATTTCTTGTATCTTTCCTTTGATGTTTAGTCATTGTGCCAGGGGAGGATGCTGCTGGGGCTGCCAATTTGGTACAGCTGCCTCAGTGTCTGCTCAGTTGCCCACTAGTGCTTCAAGTTGTGGTTGCCTCCGGTCTTGGGCCTCTCTGGAGAGGTGCCTCTCTGGTCAGTGCCCACTCAGCTGGGCTGGGGATGGAGTCAGGCAGTGGTGGCAAGGCCTACCTGCTGGGTTGCATACTGGCATTGCGGGGCACGTGTTCTCTGTGGATCTTGGGCTTCTCTAGCTGGGCACCTCTCTGATCAGCATGCACTTGGCCAGGCTGGGGATGGAGTTGGGCAGTGGCAGTAAGGCCTACCTGCTGGGTCGCACGCTGGCATTGCAGGGTGCATGGTCTCCATGGGTCTTGGGCTTCTCCGGGCACCTCTCTGATCGGTGCACACTCCCTATGGAGCACTCATAAAGGGCCTTGTGAAAAAGAGGACCTTGTCAGATAAGGTTTGGGTATTACTTAAAGGCTATGAGAAGTCTTAAGTAGACTATTTTAGCTTAGCATCTCCCAAACCATTTTACCAAAGAACTTTTGTTTCAGGCAAGATCTGTTAATATAGATTCATCTATTAACATTGTGGTCCTCAGAGTACTCTGAGAAACACAAAATCAGAGTATAGACTGGATATTCTGGTTCTAACTTCTTTGGGATTCTTATTCTTAGACTAGAAAATAGCATTTAGAAAGCAAAAGTATTGCTTTTCACATAATTGATTAATTAAGTTCTGTAAAGAAGTCTTTTTGAATATTGCTTTTTTTTTTTTTACTGCTCTGATAATAAAGCATTATCCAGTAGTATCATCCAGTTTTATTGGGGAGCAAGAATTGGCTGATGACTTTTGTTTCTTTACTAAGCCTCAGCAGTCATAGCTAATTAAAAGGAAGCTGTATTGTTATTTTATATGCAGTCTTTGGAATAAATATATTTTAATACTTTAGTGATAAAAAATGGTTGTATATTAGCAGAAATCCCAGACCCTTTTCTTGGTCATTATAAAATCTGGCCAACTAATTACTTCAGATACATTAGGAAAAGAATAAACTAAAAGAAAAGGGTACTCTGGTTCAAATATTTTGTTTAGTAAAAAACAACTTTATTTTAAATTATTTTTACATCTAAAAAGTTATCAATACTGAAAATATGCCAAATACACATTAATTTTTCTTTGATTAAGAAAATTCTTCTGATTTTGCCTGTGTTGCAATTTTATATATCACAATTAGATTTTTAAAGTATTCCAGTTAATAGAAAACTGGCTACTTCTATTATTCATTGTTGAGAATTAAATGATGTAATTTGGTCTGCATTTAGATATACTTGGATTACTCAAATTCTGTGCTGGTCTATTCATCCCTCTTCACCCTAGCAATCTTCGCCCCTTCCCCACTTCCTAAGAGAGCTGTATACACAAGAAATATTAATGAATGGAAAGTAGGAGTACTGTACTGTTTTATATTTAGGTAGGTTGGAGCTGGACATCACAAAACAGACTTTCTAGAAAACTGTGTTAAAATCTTAGCCCAGGACAAGCCTCCGTCTCCTTTTATACCTCACACCAGAAGGCCACTGAGCCATACTTGAAAAAAATGCCAAGTGCCTGAGCACGAGCATTCTTGTTAGAAGATAATCAGGTGCTAAGACGGCTACCAATTTGCCTGGGGACCTAGTCTCTGCTTACTGACACAGTCATATGTAAGTTCATGACCTTTAAAACTCAGTTAACTCATTCATTAGAAAAGGTTATCTCATTGCTGTTGTGGAATCTAACTAATCCAATTAGCAGCTCCTCCATTCTGAGGAGGTGGGGAGAAGGAGGAAGAAAGGAAGTTGAGCACAGATTTTCCCTGGGGTGGGGAAAGACCTGAAAGTTGTCCCCCTCATAGTTCATAATCTGTTTTTGTTCTTTTTTCATCTAATTTTTAAGTAACTTTTACAGAAATATACATACTGAAAAGTACACAAATCATAAGTATACAGATGGGTTAATTTTTTATAGCATTGACACACTGTGTAATCCCCAACCATATCAAGAAACAGAATGTTACCAGCATCCAGAAGCCCCTTTAGGCACACTTCTACACTGCCGCCCCTGAATAGCAGCTATCCTGACTTCTAACATGATAAGTTAGTTTTATGTATTTTTGTACTTTATAGAGACAGAACTGTACAGTACGTACTTCTTTTGCTTAATGTCGTCTGTAAGATTCAAAGTGTTGTGTAGAATTGTAAATCATTCGTTCTCATTGCTGTTTTTTAATCCACTATGAATATAACACTATTTTTCTAGTCTACTATTAATGGCCATTTGAGTTGTTTGTACTATTTTGTTATTATCGATAGTGCTGCTGTGAATATTCTTGTACATGTCTCAGTGTGTATATGTATGCATGAAGGTACATACCTGAGAATGAATTGCTGAATATCATAGGGTATGTATGGGTTCAGTGTTAGCAGATGTCGGGCTAGATCACAGACCCCTCTGCCCCATCCTGTGCAGGTCGCCTGAGTCAGGTAGTTGAAAAAAGATTCTGGTGGTGGATAACAGGATAGACATGCTTTATTCCGATGCAAACTCTGCTGGCCAGTGGTTTGGAGCTGCTGCCTTTTATACCGAAACTACACAACAGGGCAGTGAGCAAAGGGGTACATGGGTGCACATGCGCACTAACACTACTCTTACATTACTCAAGGTGAGAGGGCCTGACTAAACTAACTCCATTTTCCTCACAGTAGATATTGCCATTTTTCCAAAGTGGTTGTACCAATTTACACTCCCATCAGCTTTGTATGAGAAGTTTATTTACTCCATATCTTTTGCATTTAGAATTCATTTTAGCTATTGTGGTGTATATTTCATAATGGTTTTAATTGCATTTCTCTGATGACGAATGTGATTGAGCAACTTTTCATGTTTATTGATCCTTTCTGTCACCTCTTTTGTGAAGAACCTGTTCAAGTCCTTTGCCGATTTGTGCCTGACAATTTCTGTCTTTTTCTACCAAGAGTTCTTTGTATATTCTAGATATGAGTCTTTTGCCAGATATACATTTTGTAAATATATTCTTCGACTTTGTGACTTACCTTTTCATTCTCTTAGTGGTGTTTTTTTGATGAACAGATGTTTTTTATTTTAATATGGTCTAGTTTATAATTATTTTTCTATTATGATTGGTACTTCTTAAAAAAAGTAATCCTCCCCATATATAATCTTTTAAAATGGCATTTATATAGTGAGATTTTACCTATACAGTAGTAAGGCTTTTATTAGATATTGTTTAATGGTAGACTGAAGTGGCAGTAGGACTTTGTAAATGAAGCTGTCAACAAGTTTTGTGTTTTTCTTTTGGAAAAAAAGATGAATGGACAGAAACATTTTTGTTTTATGAGATTTTCTGTTTTATTTTAACAAAAGGAAAATTAATTTATATTTTTCTTCAACTCCCTTTTAATTTCTACACACTTTAAACAAACTTGGAAAAAAGATTTTCTAAATATAAGATATTCTTATCGTTTTTCTATAGAGCCATCCAGCTTTAAAAATAATTAAAAGTATCGATACCAGAAAAAACCTACCTAATGTTCTAAGTGTGGCCGATCATATTTGTGTCTAATAATTTTATTTTCTTTTAACATTCTTAGAGCTTTTTGAAAATGAGCATGTGCGTATTGGGCAAAAAGGTAAGCATTTAATTATAGTTGTTTTAATTTCTGAAAAATAAGACAGTTCTAGGTAAATATCTATCAAATTTTGTCAATTGAAATGTAATGTCTGAAAAGCTAAAAACGTAATGAGGAGTAATATTTAACTATGCAGATAATATAATAAGAATCTTTATAAAGAGGGAAAATGCATTATTTTGGCTTTATCAATAAATGTCAGATAAAGAAGTACACAGCTGGTTCACCTAAAAGGAAATGCAGACGCACATTCCTCAGGGATATTAGCTTAATCCATTCAGCAGTAGAATTTCATTTTAAAATCAAAGAACGTGTTCTCTCTTTGATGCATCCACACACCTCTCATTAGAGTTAATGGAAATATGCTCTTGCATGAGGAAAAAATGTAACTGTAACATTTCCCGATGACTAAACAATGGTATGACTTAATAACCGAAGTGGCTCTAAGTATTCTGGGGAATAATTTTACCTCATCTTTTGAAGATTCTTTTCCTTCTTTTTATAAACACTGTTTTGTCTTTGAAATATGAAGTGCAGATTAGTCTTTGTGTCAGAATGAACCTTCTATGACTGTTACATTGTCATGTACCAAACTCCCTAGTTCAATTTTTCGAAATCATATTTATTTAAAAGAATTCATTTGTATAATTTGACACTTTCAATAAATGTAATTGCTTATTAAAGAATATATTTCATCTCTTTTTTATTTCATCGAGACCCTTTGTTTCTTCTGATCATGTCATTTTCATTTAGTATAAGTTTTTTTCTCTTTCCTTTTAAGAAGAAAATGTAAGAAAACTGTACTGTTAGAAAAACATTGCAGTTGTCTAGTATGCCTTTTTTTGGTTTTTTGTTTTGTTTTCTTCTGCTTTTATTTACAGTCTGTGTAGGAGATATTTTCATTAAAGAAAATAAAAATGAAAACAAAAAGTTGATATATTAATTTTGTGAACTTGGCTGCTTAAGAATAATTTTGGCCTTCTTAAAAGGTTGCAAGATCTTCTTTGTTTTTCTTTAAAAAATTCCTCCTTTCTGTTGATTTTGGCAGATAGCTAAGAAGCCATCTAACAGAATGATTACCTTACATTGTTAAAATTTTTAGCCTTTTTATATATAAAAATTATATGTAATTTACTATATACATTAAATTTAATATATTAAATTTATTAGTAATGCATTTATTAGTAATTAGCTATAGTTAAAGCAAAGTCATTTCAAGGTGACTATATTTTAAAGCTTTTACCAGGCTGGGTAGGAGGTGGAGGAGCTTAAGGCTTGAAACCTGGAGGGCTGGTAATAGGGCCGTATCAAAATCCAGAGGGTAAAAGAAGATATGATGTAATTATGTTAGATATAAAGATTAAATGTTAGCTTCCCAAAAGATTTATAATTAAAGATTTTAGTGATATTTCTTACATTATGAATTTTCTAATGAGGTTTTAATATATTTTTGACAGTTCTAGCAGAACAAGATAGCGCTGCTGCTCAGCAGTATGTCAGACAAGGAAGTCCCACAGCACTGAGAGCTGAATTGTGGGCTCTCATTTTGAACATTTCCAGTCAGCCTGAGGTAAGAAGAAAAGAGGATAGGCCAAATTTGGGCTATTGATATTTATTTTTCAAAGACCGGTTATTCAAAACAGAAAAACTTTTGTTTCTTGGTCTATTATTTACTCCCCCCCCCCCCCCCCCCCCCC